ATATATATATATATATATACATGTGTTTTACCAACCACAATTATCAACTTTTTGGGAGCCTTGAACAGCCACCTCCACGTGGTGCTCCCGGGTCATGCCAAGAGCTGTTCAGTATTTATTTGTTTATATATATATATATATGTATGTATATATATATATATATATATGTATATATATATATATATATTCAGGGTTATTTCCAATATAATATAAAAGTGAAAATATTAAATATTATTATATAAAAAAACATTCATATATATAAAATTAATATAATTTATAGATATATATTATATATATAATATATATATATTATATGTATATTATGTATATATATCATATTATATAGATATATATTGATATGCATAGCGCCAAAAAAAGCTGAGAAAAAACGTTACATGCTTTTTTTTAAACGGAAAAAATGTTATTGTCTTCGATTTCTGACTCATTTCGTCTTATTCCTTCTGACTACTATTTTACAATTGACATGTAGTTAGAGGATTTGTTAGTAAGAATATTTGTTTGTGATTTCGTTAAAGTTATTTATGTTCTTTTGTTGGCGAGAACAGCATAATCTTTTGTCTAGAGAGAAGGTCGGAGATTTAAAATGATATTGGTTAATTTTTAATAATCTAAATTGTATTTAATCTTTTTGTTTCTCCCCAATAGTTTGATATATTCGAATTTCTTCGGAATAAAATAAATCATTTCAGAAATTTCAGGACTGTTTTGGGAAGCCAGTCATTTCCGTGGTTGATACTGAGCTATCGGCAGCTGTCCTTATTCGAATTTATTTATTTTGAGACTATCGGCCGTTTTATACAAATGTCCTGGCGCCTAATAATTGTGTCATTTTGATTTGGTCGTCAATGCCTGTGTATATTTATTCCTTCTTCTACCGAGGGCAAAAATGTGACAGTATCTCATTTTTTTAACACTATCTGGCAATATTGAAATTCCACTCGCACCATATCGATAAGTACCCGTTTTTATCGACATGATCAATTCGAACCCTGTGGAAATCGGCACCAACCCATACGTTGTTACCACGTCGGATCCATAAAAATACACGAAATGATTTAGTTTGTCACCCCATTTCCAGTACTGAGACTGTTGTTTTTACCGTCATAAATGTATAGCAATTTGACAAAAAAGAAAAGTCCTCATTTATTCATGTATTCTACTTATTCATGATTCATCATTAATGTATTCATTATTCACCAACAGTTTGATGGCTGGGTCGGAGCCTGAAGTTTACTCCCGCCCTATGTCGCCAAAATGTATGAACCCCAAAATCACTGAACCCCCCCCCGTAGAAGACAATACCATTTATTGGGCATCACGATTTTTTTTATAACAGTACATTATACACATTCTTAGTACAGAATGTACTAAATTAGTAAAAGAATAATTCGAAAATGTTAACCTTGAGATATGGGTTCTGGAATATAATTCATGATTTTTCCAATTGGGTAAAGTACGAAATTGAGTGGAGAAACTGCCTGCTGAAATTACAAATTGAGAGATTGACCCCTGTAATTTTGGAGCTTGGAATCAGAAGTGACTATCACATGTCAAATCTTACGTTTTTCATCCAGTATTTAGGTGTTCAAATCTTGTAATTTACATGGCGATATTTTTATATGCGCTACGCACAGCTAATCGTTAAAAATCTGACAAATAAAAGAAAGCATTGGTGAGTAGAGAATATTGAGTGAATTGTCAGTTTGAAATTACCTCGATATTCGTCTGAAGCAACGCCTTCGTTTTTCCCTCGAACAGATCGAAAATCTGCACGCTCGCCTCCTGAATACACAATAGGATTTGTTCCCCGTGTATTCGTACCCCCCGCAAATCACAGAAGAGAAAAAGGGGTGGCGAGCGCAGCACTAGGTATGATTGGTAAATTATTGACGTAGAATACTGTACAACCCAGCACGTACTCACCTTAAATATTTGATAAGAACACCGGATATATATTGCGAAAAGGAAAAATCGAATGCAAAAAGCTGTTGTCGAAGAATGTTTCATATTAATATCTCATTCTAGACCATAAATATCTCATTATATTTTATCAGGCAAAATCTAATTACTGCAATGGTAACATCGAAAGAATTTTTTATTCTCATTTTACAGTGATAAACTATAATACAAAAAACGTGGTTGGATGATCAGGAAAGTCACTCTACATTTTCCCGAGATCAATAAACGAAAGTACGTTTATTATTCATAGATTATTAAGGATAGGGTAGTATACATTTTTAGGTTATCATCTCACACAACGTGTGAATCTACGCGAGTTAGGCATATGATTTCAGTATTTACCTAGAAGAATTGAATGAATGATCATGAAAATAATACGATAACATGGATCAGTCTGATCCAAACATTGTTCGGCGAAAATTCCTGGTTTTATTTTGAAAAATAACCATAAAATTGATTTTCTCGAGTTATTTTAATTTTTTTGTTATGATATAGTGGGAATAAATAACAATAGAATGTATTGAATTTTTTTCTGTTATCTTTAAATACATTACAAAGTTTTTTAATAACGTTTTCTTTTCGGGAAGCATTCATCGCAGGTATGATTCGGCCTCATTTGTCATTCGTCTCATTCGTACATTCATACCCTCGACCAGAACCTGGGAACGTATGTGGCTCTTTCATTACACACGACCTAAAATAAAGCATTTTTCCTTATGCGCCCTTCACTTTCTTCTGCTTGTGTTTAAAAACTTTGGGCATAACTCAGACTCGTTATCTGACTCGCAAATAAGGCATTGTAAAAGTTGGGCGCATCAATCTGGGCCTCTACGGAGATTCAAAGTTCAAACGACGCTAAGTCACCCCTAAAGTATTATACCCCGGGGGTTGTATCCGGCTAACTCTCGCTTGGATACCCGATCTATCTACCAATTCTTTTTTCGAACCACTTTTGTTTAGTTCAGGATTCTTCTCAAAGAACTGGTGGGTATTTTCTAGACGCCAAGAGGTCTTTTATAAACGTAGCTCCTTCTTTACTAATAATGAAATCCAATTTTTTAGAAAGCACCAGATGTTTTATTGACGAAAAAATATGGCACTAATACCTTACCCCACGGAAAATCCTATATATAAGAAATACGTATCATTTATACCCACATACTTTCGGCAAAAATGCAACATATGTCATATCGATATTTAATATTGGAAAATTACAATTGGAAATAAAATTTTTTTTATTAAATATTAATTTCTTAAATATTCTGGTGATTCTCAATTTCCACAATGAGCTAGAAAATTCAAAAAGTTTCCTTGAAAAATGAATTAATATTCAATATGAGATTCTCCTCCCCTTTGGATTCATCTAATCAGAGCTCAGTATTCTAGGTCATATGACCCCTTCATACCGAAATTACTTTGATTATTTTTTCAACCCAAATTTCCGTTAACAGGATTTTTGATAATTTTGCCTGCTAGTTCCCATATATAAGAAACAAAATAATATTAAGTCGAATGAACTCGAGATGTCAATGACAAATTTAATTCGATCCCTTAATTTGAATTAAAATATTTTATATTTGTTTTGAAAATAAAATTTGTATTTAACAACTGTGAGGTTCATCTCATGGGCCAATTCCGTTAACCGAAATCTGGATTGAAAAAATAATCCGACGAATACTGCTCGAGCTTCAAAATTAATCGAGTATTTCCCTCAAGGTTCCCCGCAAACAAACAAAGTCGTCAAGTTTTTCAGGAAAAATAACTCGCGTCTGGCGCTCGTGATTTTTATACCTGAAAAACTTGACTCCTTCATTTGTTTGCAACGAACCTATCGGGAAATACTCGATAATTTTGAAGGTCTCGTGGTATTACAACTGATAATTCACCAAACTACGGGCGATGAGATTGACACAAAAAGTTTTCTCGCGAATATCATCCCTCTCATTGCTACGTAACAAAACTATTGGCAATTATTCGATAACTCATAAGTGAGAAATTTAATGAGCTTTAATTCAAATTCAATGTAGATTTATATAATTGAAAAGGCAGACGAATTTCTGACTGAAATTTATAGAAATTTTTAACAGTGTCACATAATTATTTGCATGCCAACTTTTCCGTGAGGTTAACCTACGCTCAGATATATAATAGATAAAAATGATTGAAAATATTCACGCGATTCCATTAGTTTTTCTTCAGAAATTTTAGCCTGATTTTTTACAATAAGCGTTGACCACCAAATAAAGTGACAATTCCTAATTCCGATCGCAATTAGTCCAGAACCACCGTTCTTCATTTTTTAAAAACCATAATTTGAAATGCTGCATTATATTAAAATAAGTGTGATAGCAACTACGTAAAGAATTCCATTCTTTTGAGAAAATGGACAGTAGTAAATATTTGCCTGTGGCAAAATCTAACGATTGGATTATAATAAATGGAAGTCACTGACAGGGTTCAGATAGTTCAATAAATTTTCCTTATAACTCGGATTCTACATATTTTTCATCAGTGATAATAACTAAATGAACGGAGAATCCCTGATAATAATGGCAAGGGGGCGGGAAAATTTCGTTTTCTTACAACGGGTGAGTTGATTAAAATTGAATTAATTTGTATTAGTAGGTTTAATTTAAATACCTTTGATTGGAACAAATCCATCGCAGGGATAACTAATTTAGAATTTATCGACTTATTACTAATAAAGGAACTCTATTGAGTGCAGACAAGCAATCATGTTTCACTTTTTGGCAGCTTCTCACATTCTTGTCTTTTTTGTTTTCTTCCAAAAGGAAAGGATCCTCTGATCCTGAGACGAAAAGAAACATTTTACTTCGACTGTCATTTGGCATCGTATGTAGCTTGTGCATTGATGCCGTTTAAATTATTCATAGGATTTAGAGCGTTATGGGCACCGGTGGATGTGGCTGCTGGCTGATACCCATTGTGGTTATGACCAACATCGCCATTTGTTTGTCTCGCCTGTGCCCCAGCTACATTCTGAAAGAAAATAAAAACCATCTGGTAATATTTTTTTCAATTTTATGGTCTTCAAGTTCTTCATAAAAACTCAAGGGACACGAAATTCAGGACAAATTATGCACGTAATTCTCATTTTAATCATTTATTCACATGAAGAAAAACTGTGTAAATCTGTGGTTTAGGTCGACCAAAAAACAAAAATCATTGAAATGTGAATTTCTTTGGATAAAAACCATTCTTATCCTCTGACTAGTCAATAGACCAACGAAGAGAGAGAAACAATAAAGAGAGAAATACATCGATCAATAGTCCTGAGGTAAATTCTGTTGTCCCTGAAATTCCTAAAACCCCCCATACCTCTGTTGTCGCTGTTGACGCGACGAGTGAGTGATATTTAGTTCATATTTTGAATAACTACAATAGCGGCGGATAAGTCCCTCGTGGGAATCCCTGAAAAAACACCCCCGGAAAAAATATTCCGGAAAAAAAATCTCGGAAAAAATATCCCCGGAAAAAATATCCCCGGAAAAAATATCCCGGAAAAAATATCCCCGGAAAAAATATCTCCGGAGAAATTATCGCCAAGAAAAATTCTAATATTGAATTCTTAATAATAAATATTTAAAAATGCTAATTTTAATAATTTACTAAATGCATTTTAGAAAAAAATTTCTTTATTTATTATGACATATAAAAGGGTTAAGGGTTCGATTCCCCATGAAATTAAAATCATCTTTTTTTTTCTCAAATTTTCATTTAATGTGTTATGTGGGAAGTGGGAGGGGGCTTCGCCCCCCCCCCAGGCCACCCCAACGGGGCTGCGCCCCTGGACCCCACCGGGGCTCCGCCCCTCGACCCCGCCAGGGGCTGCGCCCCTGGACCCCCCTCTTCGCCCCCCCGCCTTTGGAAAAATATGTCCATAAAAAAAAGGGTGACAGAAATGAAATATATGATTGGGGGGATATTTTTTCCGGGGATATTTTTTCCGAGGATATTTTTTCCGAGGATATTTTTTCCGAGGATATTTTTTCCGGGGATATTTTTTCCGGGATTTTTTTTCCGGGATATTTTTTCCGGGGATATTTTTTCCGCCACCCACTCGTGGTATTCGTTCAGCAATGGTAGATGGTCGGGAGAGGTGAATTGAGAGTTTTAGTAAAGTGCTCAGGACTATTAGATAAATTTATCTTTCTGTGTGTCCATCGTCTTTAAATGTGTTAACATGTGGTGTCTTCGGGGCCGATACACCGCCACGTCCTCGCCGTGGCCCTGGATAACGCAGAGAGCGGTGTATTGAATGTCATATCTCCCACACTTATTGTTTCGGGATAAAAAGGTGACCAGATCCTTAATCAGGTGGTGGAAACCCTTTCAACTAAATGAAAAACATCCAGAATGATTTGGTGGACTTGAACTAGACATTTACCAAAAACAGATTATACGGAGAGGAACAGTGGGACAAAAATTAGTTAAAACTTCCCTAGTTCAAAGTAAAGGTTCAATGATAATTTTCGAACATCCAATACATAGTACCTAACTACTGTGATGTGACATTTTCTAACGACCGAAAATGCCTGTCACCTTCGCCCTTCCTCTCTATAGCCTCCGCGCTGATACAAAAAAACACGGACAAAAATCGAGACCTAAAAAGGTTGCCAGGCCCCAGCTAATTTTCTGAAGTCAAGGAATCAGCAACTCGAAGCTTAAGTTAACGAAAAATCAAAAACGGAATCCTAGAACTTACTTAATCTAGCTCAGCGAGGGGGTTAAGGGAGAGGTAACGGATGCCTTCGCTGCTCAGTATGCTAGGTTGTGGAGAGAGGGGCGGATTCGGAAAAAAAAGCAAAACGGTCCAAAATAAACGAAAAAAATACAAGAAAAAAAAAATATTCTATCGACTTATTTCAATCGACTGTTTATTCGACGACCTCAACAATGTCTGGAATTTTCCCCAGTTGACCGAGGTCAACGGTACGAAAAAAAGGAAAGCCTAATCCGGCCCGCAAGGCATCTAACGATGCTCGGGATGTCCCAAAAGGTTCGGAGGCCCCGTAGAATTAAGTGTTATCGCAGTTGGCCGAGGTCAACGGTATTATAAAAAAAAAACCCTAATTCATTCAGCGAGCCACCGAATGACGCTCAGAATTTCGCAAAATCATCCAGAGGCCCCGTCGAAATAATTAACGATAAAGTTTCAACATGAAAAGTCTCCACGTAGGTCTGCAGAGCCTTTAGGGAGGCTCGGGAATTCTCCCTGCCCCATGTAACCCCAAAAAATTAACAAATTGGGGCGGTAATAGGTGAGGGGTAGGTCAACTATTGAGGTAGACCGCGGAAAAGGTCCTAGATCATCTCCAAAAGTGGCAAATCACCGAGAAAATCCTCGGAGAGGGCCTGAACGAGGCGTTGAAAGAGAGAGATGGGGATAACGCGCGAAAGGGACAGCGCTACGCTCAACGTGCACGGCGCGCGTGAGCATAAGTTTTTAATGGTTTTAATTTTTCACCGCGGTAGCGGGTCACCCGCTCAAGCTCGAATAAACTCCACCACCGAGGGGAATAACTCACGCATGTTCTCCCAAAATTGGAGATTTCCACCGTGTACGGGGACTGAGATATCTCCGTTTTCCGGAACGGCAATTTTCCAATACCGTTGAGCCAGAGTTCTTGCTCAACGGTAAGCGAGGCGTAGTGGGGGAAATACCCAAGGCCTCGATACGTATGCGGGGTCAAGGCCAAACGAGAAAAATCCTCATGTTCCACGGGGGTTTTCGACGGTTTCCCCCGAGATTTTCACCGTAATTTTCGCCCGGTGACCATCAAACTCCCAGGGGGACAGTCCCCTGGCGATGAGCGAATCCTCCACACGCCATCGGCTGTGGTTTCCGAATAAACCATGGCCGAAAAACACTCGCGAACACCTCGACGGAGGGAAGACGCCGTTCGATCCGTTGATCGAACGGGATATTTTATCACCCGCGAATCACCAAACGGGTCTCCAGTCAACCGGGTGACTGGGAAAAACTAATCGGAATTTTCGCTCAGCTAGGCACGGGGCGTGCGCCCAGGGTGGGATCCTCCCATTGCGTCCTGTAGCAGCTCGAAAAAAAACTTTCTTATCACTCTCGCGTCCTTGCGATAATTGCCAAAAAGATGGCGGAACTCTTGCCTCGCCAGAACTGCATCGCCGCCATATTTGAATGGGGGAAAAATAAATTTTCCAATTTTTACCCTTACGCGATTGTTGCGGCTAGTTTTCCCGCTTGTTTCTCCAGGGATCCATGGACAACAAATTTGTATCGAAAAATACCCCACACGACAAACACAATCGGCAATTCAGTGGGGTATTGGTCGTGACCTTCCACCCATTATACTTGAAAACACCTCAAGGATCCCTCTCTTTGGGTGCTGGCAGTCGCAGCCAGACTGTTCACCTCGGGAAGATTTCGCGAACGGAGTTCCTCTAGCCCACGCCAGATGATAATTTTAATTATCCCTCTTCGCCGCGCGATTAGAAAATCCGATTCAATTTCACAATCAATTAATTATCCCCTTAATTATTCCCTCTCCTTAACCTCCCCTTAATTCTCTCTGCACTCGGCGTAACCTCCGGCCGATCCGGGGAACTTCGCAAAAATTCGGTCATTGATTTAATTATTCAATATTATTAATATTTCTTTTCTTTCTCCACAAATTGTGGGACTAATAGTTGGGCGGTCATACAGGCTAAGGAACGATCAGCTGGGTTCGTACTTAGATGGGTACCCGCTTAGTCACACCTGTCGGCGTGTAGACTGCCGGCGTTAGGCACGGGAGTAGAGAGCTACTGTGTCCACCGAGTCAGTGTGACTGATAAACACAGCAGAATTCCTGCATTACCGGCTAGCTGCACTACTGAGGTTTTCCATGGTTTCCCTCAGTACAAGTCCAAAGGGTGCAGTAGGGAAAGTCGGTCCATGACACCGCAAAAATAATGAGAGGATAATAGGATAGGCTAAAGGCTAAAGGCTAAGACGAAGGGGTGCCTATCAAACCATGAAAACTATAGTAGGAAAAGGAAAAATGTAAAAAAAATCTATACTCCAAAAAGCACCTAATGAACTTCTCTTCTGTTACTACTTTCTGCCTGCCAAGCAATCTTTCCTAGATATATATATTAGTCGTTAGTTTGTCCATCATGTTGCAATGAAATTTCTGATGAATAAATGAAACTGAAAATGAAACTATTTTTTAAAGAAATCTTTAGCTCTAAATGTTTTTACTAATAGTCAGGAACTATCAGTAAGCCACTCTGAAATCTATTATCAGTAAATAATAAACTGATGCTACTTTTTTTCATCAAATACAATGAAAAAATGTTCCAAACTTTCCTCAAAATTTGTAACAGAATACAAATCTCAATGATATGCATGTGGGTGCAGAAGATTAGATCCTTTTATTGTCAGAAGCTCTTTCTCTGCCTTGTACTCCTGCCAAACAGTCACTCGTGGCCGATTAACAAGAATCACCAGGAAATCGTGCAGATAATACGTTTTCCATGGACTTATAGGAAATGGTCTTTAAAAACTTTGAAAAGAAATGGTCATTGAAAACCCATTTTCCTTCTTCCTCGGTCATTCGGCCTACTCCACTGTACTGCATTTATACATTCGGATCCATAACAGCTGCGATAAACATATGAATAGTTTTTTTTAAATCGATAACTATCCATGTCTATCCACAAAATATGAGCATGAGCATCCTGCTATCTCAGTGCTGACTTTTTCCCTTCTTCGTCTTGGCGTAGTAAAGCAGAGATGGGCAACTTCAGCTCTTGGAGTCAGTCCAGCTCCCGACCTCCATTAGGCAAAATTGTCCCAAGCCATAAAGTTTATGGTTGCACCCCCGTCGGGCCCATGATACCCTGTACATAGGCAAGAGTGGTGGTGGGAAAAATGAAATAGAAAAATTTTCTCTCTCAAATGGAAATATTTTTTCAATTATTGTTTTTTTTGTTATCCTTTTAATTGGTTATTGGTG